TACTCTTGCAGGAAAAGAATCCTCTGAGGCAAATGCATCCTCCTGCAAGCTGTGAGACAGCACCAGCACACCCCATGTGGTCCTTCTCACATGGTCCTTCTTGCTCTTCCACCAGCTGCCCCTGCTGAGGCGGTTCCTCTGCTTCAGCCACATCACAGCATGTGGCAACCCCAAAGCCTGAGCTGAGGAAACCCCAAGTCAGATGCTAACTCTGCAGCATTTCCTTCAAATTTCTCTTTCCTTCATCAGAACCTTCCTGATGTTGAGGAGCAAACTTGTCCCACCCAGCTTCAGCTCAGCAGAAGCTCAGACTGTAGCACTGGTGTCAGTGGTACTTTCTAGTCTTAATGCCATAGATTTTTCTTTAGAGGATTATATCTGTTCTGCCAGCCAGAGATGCTGCAGTGGGCCATGCCAACATCACTTACCTTAAGAACAGGCAGGTCCCTGTTCAGCTCCTGGATGACCCACAGCCCTGGGTGAATACCCGTGCTGCAGATATTCAGCAAGCTGGACCCATACTAAGGCATGAAAGCTATCAATGGGAGCTTTATCCCCACTTTGGGCTGCAGTGAGGCCTAGGTCCACCTCCCCAGGACGCAAGACTCCTTTAAGTTCCCTGCTCACCCCCCTGGACTGCCATGCCAAGTGCCAGCCCCAAGTTGCATGGTGGGTTGCTCCAGCATGTGCAGCACAGAGGCACATCCTCAACTTTCAGCCAGGCAATGCTCTCAGGAGTGCTCTTGCTAGGCAGGTCTTTCCCACAGCACTGCTCCTGTTTACTGTCCCTCAGGGGTTCCTGGAGACATGCAAGACTGCACTCCCCAGTTTGGGATGCTATTTTTAAGGCTAGGTGCAAAGGCTTCCAAGGCATTTTCAGACTGCCCATCTGGGAAGGTTTCTTCTAGCTCCAGAGCTGGCTTTTGCTTCTCAGGTCAATATTCAGCCTGTACAACCATCATCAAAAATCATAAGGCAGATCCCTCAACCACAAGATTGGTTCAAAAAATGACATTATTATTATCATTATTATTATTAGGCATGTATAATGACCTTGGAGTCTCCGTATTTGCTTTCTAATTTTTTGAACTCCCAGTTAAATTCAGATCGTGGCTAGGAAATATTAGTTCCTTTCTTTTTAAATGAAAAATCTGAGTTTCAATACCATATGCCCCAAAGTTCAGACTTTGAGAGAAAGAGCTAATTCCCCACAAATCATGCTGACATAATGGAAGAGCACGTTACATACGGCAATCCACTTCCTTGGCTGCGTGGTTCTTCAGGCTGATCTGTGTGTCAGGGGCAAAGCCCAGGAGCCCGTGGTGAAAGCCAAGTCCTAAACAAAATGTGTTACCTTGCCCAAATTAAAGCTCACTGGGCACCTGCGTGTTGCAAAAGCGAACGTGTGCTCACAGGTCTCACTGCATCTCTCACACACTGCGGCATTCAGGGCCTTCACACAGGGGTAGGGTAGTGTCCTGGGAGTGCTAGCTTGAACCCCAATCATCATTCTCCTTTCTTGTGATGAGCCACACCCAAACACACGTAAATCTGAGTTATTTAGCAAATGGATTAGTTGTTGACATGTGGTGCTCAGCTTTGGGGTCTTGGATGGGGCTTATATGGCCCCCAAAGACTCCCAAGGTGGTGATGGATGAACAGGAGCCCATGCTACCCAGCCTGGATGTCATCCATGGGCTGAGTGAGACAAGAGCTCTGCTGGCAAAGCATGGGGCTTTTGCTGCAAGTTAATCCCTCCCACTGATATGTAGCTCCCAAGGACCTCCAGCCATGCACATCACCTACGCAGCTGACTAGCAGAGGAGTCACCATGTGGAAGGGCTGCGACTCTGCCCCATAACACTGCGAGACCTTGGCCTGGCTGCTGCGGAGCGTGAGGCAGAGGGAGATACCTACACCTGAATGTACAGGACCAGCCAGCTCTGCCGAAGCATGCCAGACCCTGAAGGGCTCCTGTGCTGTACCTCAGATGAGACAGCCATGGCAGTACTGCTAGGAGTGCAGCTGAAGGTGATGTGCCCCATTCTGCTGCACCTCTTTCCCCCCCCCAGTCTTCGTGCTTATTTTAGATTAAAAACAAATGGGAAAAGGTTCAGATGGAAATCTCTTCATTTAAGTTAAATAAATAATCAGTATTTCCAGTCCTTGTCTTTGCTTGTTAAATAAAGGCTTTCCTAGCCCTAGATAAGGGCTTTCCTAGCCTCAGACAAGGTTTTCTCTCACACATGGCATTACTGCATTATGAACTGAGGCAAAATAAGATCTTGACTGTGATATATGTTTGACATAAGTCCAGGCTTAGCATACATGACCTTGTTGTCATCCAAGTCTAGCAATACTTCACCCTTAAAAACAACCAAGAAAGAAATTTCCCGTTCTTCCTTAACGGGAAGAATAGTTTGAAATGGGGCGAATGTGAACCAAAGCAGTCACAACCACCTGATTTCCAGAGGGAAGTGCGGCAAGGACTGCAACACACATCCCAGGTTGGTTTTTAAAGCCATGACACACTGCTTTGGAGAGCCTGCTGTAAGCACCGGGGCTGGAAACCCTGTGCATCCTCCTGGAAGGATAAGGAGGCAGCAAACTGTGCCTTTGTCCCTCACCTACCCAAACCCAGGTACCACCCACTGGGGCAAATACAGCATGGGGATTCTAACTTGCCCACTCACTACTGCCTTGCTTCAAAGGGAAGGGGTCTCCATGGCAGTTGCTAGGAAAAAAAGTTGAAGGGGAAGAACCACAGAATTAACTTCACCTTAATAGGGCAACCTGGCCAAAGACCTGCATTTACTGGGCCCTCAGCTTTAGCGGGGGCTGAGAACAGATGAAGATGACTACGAGTACATTGCTAGTCTCCAGGCTTAGTTTGAAGCCCAACAAATCAATGCAAAAGAAGAATTGTCAGTGACTGCAAAAGGCTTTGGGGTCCAGGTATAGTATGGGATGGTCCACACGGGTACTTCTCCGGGTAGCTGAACGCAAGGTACTGGGGTAATTTTCACTCAGTCTAACGCTTCACATCCGTCCAAAGAAAGTGTCACACGGAGCATCAGCAGCTGTATACCATGTGTTTTAATAAACTGTATAACTAGCAGAAAAATAGTTTTGGATGTGTTTATCCTCCTCCCCCCTAAAATAAAAAAACTCAAGTTAAAACCAGAATAGCGCCAACCCCAAAACAGAAGAAAAAAATTGTCCCGGAGCAAAGCTGACACACAATACAGAGTTGGAAAAAAAGGTCTTTGATGACATTATGTTTATAAAACACAAGGTAGTGAATAATAAAATGCTTATTGTTTTGATCAGTTTCTCTCTCTCTCTGTATATATATATATGTAGATACATATATATATGCTGATACACCCTTAGTGGGATGAAATGGTACATCTGTAAGACAAAAAAATAAAAGGGTGACTGTGGGGAAGGAGTAAAGAAGAAAAGAAATGTATTATTTCAGTCAGTGAAGTAAGGACAATGCTCAATTCCCTTACAATGTACCATTGCACTGCTTATCAAGGGACATGCTTGTCTCTCCATGGCTATGCTGTGTCCCTGGTCCATGGATGAGCTGTGAGCTTGTAATCTGAGTGGTCTCCTTCACTGCTCTGTGTATGAGCAGTACCTCAGAAATGTATGAAGCGTTCCTTCCCCTGGTTAATTCCCATGCTTTACCATGATTTTTAATTTAAAATTGATTAGTATTTCAGTTTGCATTTTTTCCCCCAGGTTTCTTGCATTGACTGCTGTGCAGGTCTCCACAGTAAGGCGGAGCAACCCAGATGAGCAATATGCCACAGGAATGTGCCATTATCACAATGTGACTGGATGGAGGAATTCATTTTACATCGGATCCCATGCTACTTTGACCTCACGCTCAGTCTGCAGAGCTATGTCATGCAGTCACCTCAGCTGTTCTGCATTGGGTGGGCCTGTGGGCCACATCTTAATCCAAAAACAAGGATAGGAAAGAAAAAATATTTTTTATTTCCTTTTCTCCTTCCACGGAAACCTACCCACACAAGAAGAGTAGGCAATACCATTCTACGCTGAGGTCTCTGCTTCACTCTTAGGCAAATGAGTCCTGCATTCAAAAAAAAGAAAACATATTCTTCCTCCTGTTGTTATATTGCTCTTTCAGAGAACCAGCCACTGTCCATGCTTTCCCAGATCTCAGTGCCGTGCTTAACAAGCAAACTAAGCACAAGCTCATGCTGGCTGCAAAGTTCAGGTGACCAAGAAGATATTAAGAGAACAGCTCAGTTTGCCAGCTTCTTGTAAACACCATATTGCAAAGAAGGCAAAGGCAAAACACCCCTCTCCACACCTCCCCCAACTGCCTTCCTTGTGTTTTTTTTTTTTTCCTTTCTCTCTCTTTCTTTTCTCTTTATTTCTCTCCTCCTCTCTTTCTCTCCTTCTTTCTTTCTTGTATGGGGGTTCATGAAGAGAAGCAAGACTTGTGCATCACAAATGATGGAACTATCCCCACCTCAGCCTCTTTCTTCTCTTTATTTCTCTCCTCCTCTCTTTCTCTCCTTCTTTCTTTCTTGTATGGGGGTTCATGAAGAGAAGCAAGACTTGTGCATCACAAATGATGGAACTATCCCCACCTCAGCCAGCTTCCCACCCTACAATAATGCACAAGCCCATCTTATCCTGTACCTGCCCGCAGAAGGTGTTTGTTTGTCTCTTGATCTTTTGGTTCTCTTTATTTCTCTCCTCCTCTCTTTCTCTCCTTCTTTCTTTCTTGTATGGGGGTTCATGAAGAGAAGCAAGACTTGTGCATCACAAATGATGGAACTATCCCCACCTCAGCCAGCTTCCCACCCTACAATAATGCACAAGCCCATCTTATCCTGTACCTGCCCGCAGAAGGTGTTTGTTTGTCTCTTGATCTTTTGGAAAATCATGCAGTCTGATCTGCTGGGGAGTTCTGCAGTGCAGGCGCCAGGTGGCTGGTTCTCCCCCTTTCCTGAGGCTCATAAGTGATTGTTTTTGGACAGATAGGCAATAAGAGCCACGGCAACCCCAACGTAGATGCCAGTTCCGATTGTGATGGACAGGACAGCCAGGAAGAGTGCTCGCCGGGAGCTGGAGCTTGCATGGTGGAAGTCCCCCTTGGCTACTGCTTTGTTTGTCTGCAAGATATACAACAACAACAATGCAATATATTTATTTGTTTCATCTGGAAATGAAGATGTGATGCTCATTTCTTGGCTGAAACATGATCGTGGGGTATGACAGTAAACTGGTTGGAAATCAAATACTTTTTTAGTCGAATGAGGTTATTTGCACAATTAGGATGATGATGGACCCAATGGCATCTCAAGTGGTACTTTTAAGTGCCTTTAAGCTTAAACGTATCCTAGGATTTAATGCTATGCATCACGATGACTCCTGAGATGGCTCAGCCTCCCCTGAGAACATGGACAGATGGGCTGTGAGCCAAGGGTCTGCCCTGTCCCCTCCAGACACAGCTACAATTCTGCTTCTGTGAGGTGGCTGGATTCCAGCCTGGCTGGGAAAGGTAACAAGGGAAAAGCCCTTTAAACGTGCCACTTGCACAAAAACATTCTTCCAAGTCATCTGAAAAGGTCGATCTGTTCTTACCTGGACAAGGACAAGAGGGGCTGAATTTTCCCTTCCATTGCAGTGTTTTTGAGCATACTGACTAGGTGGAATGACTGGCCCAGGTTCACCACCACAGAGAGGCGAGACACCACCAGTTACCTTGCATCCACCTTAGGCCTGAGCTTCAGTGCAGGAGAAACACCTAGGAAACCAGAGCCAGCAGACACTCTTTCAGCCTTGATTCAGATGAACACTTACGCATACAAGCAGGGCAGCTCCCTTGATTATCAGAGGGATGACACACATGCTTAGTGGGGCCATTGGTGTTGGAGGTATGGTCTTCTCTCTTCGGGGTGGTGCATTCAGCTGGATGTGTCAGCTGGAGGAGGAGTTTCCATTTTGATGGTTTTAAAGTGGCTTTCGTGTCTCTTGCTATGGTTCCCAGCAGCTCAGAAGACTAATCCAAAGCTCTGGTAACTGTATCACATCTTCTATGTAGCTCTGAGTACCCAAGCAGATGCCTTGAATTCAACCTGATCAGCTGGCATTCCCAAAGTTATATGCAAGGCATTTATGCTTGAGCACAATGAACCTCACAAAGTTACAGCTTATTAGTACACCTGTCAATAATGAACACAGAAAGCAGAATCGCAGCTGAGTGGGGATTGTCTCCTGTGATGATCCCACAGTCACACTGACATCAACGGGATGGCCACTGCAGAAATCTACATCTGGAGTTTGAGAAGTATTCGAGTATCTGTTCTTCTAACACACCTTCCAGGCACCTTCGAGCTCAGGAGCCAAGACAAAGCAAAATCCCTGCTCAAAACAGGCAAAGGAAAGCTAAAATTGGACAGGATTGATCTACCCATTGACAAGACCGCCTAATGCCATTTCAGTGGGTCTCAGTCTTGCAGCGTGATGGAAGGAGGACGACATTTTTATAGACCGTGGTGTGGTATCAGCAGGGTCACCCGACAGCCAGTAACAGATCTGTCACCTACAAGAAAGGTCTTGTAGAAGCATATGAGCTCCGTAAGTTCTGAGACAGCCTTTGTTCCCTTGTTACAATGAGTGAGGAATTCATAATGCTTTAATTGTATTTCTCCACAAATGCTCGATTTGCTGGGACACTTTCTGCTTCAGTGTCATCTGTTGCTCTATTTTTGTCTTTTTTTTACTACCTTGTTACCCAGAGCAATTTACAGCAGCCAAATGACAAGCTTCCACGCTGAAAAAAAGGCTTCTGGCCTTTCTGTCAATGACTTTATTAGGAGAACTGTCTCTTCTCATTCATCAACCTGATTTTTTAAGCATAATGCCTTATAAATGTTTCAGGCAGAAACAATGTCAAACAATACATATGAAAAGAGAGAGAGACTAGGCTGCAGGCTGGAGGAAAATTATAATTTCAAAACAGCAACATATAAACAACTCACAGGTTTACACCTAGTGTCATGTCCTTTAGCTTAGATGGGGAAGGCATCCTACTCACTTTGCAAAGGATGTCCGGCCAGACCTCTCAGCAGGGTGACCAGGGATTTCATGAGCTTCTTGTCTGGGACCTCCAAACACTCAAAAGAAGACCCCTTTCCAGAAGAATGCCAGGGGCTTTGGGGATCATGGAAATATTTCTTAGGGTCACTTAAAAGTCTTGGCAAGGAAAGCAGAGAAAGCTTTAGAAAGAATTGGTCATTCAGCTCTCCTCAAAGATTTTCTTCAAGCATCTGCTACCCATCACGGCTTTAATAAAAGGCTCGAACAGAGAGGCTTGTATTCACAGAAGTTAGGTCGGACTTGTCAGGTGAAGGTAAATGCACAGCACTGAAGCTATTTGAGCCTTTGAATAAACTGAGGTAAACAGTTTCAACCCCCAAAATGGAGGGAAAGTTTGAAAATGCTGGAACATTTCAATTTGACATTTCTGAAATGTCATGTTATGTCATGGAAAATTTTGCAACATTTTGGGCTGACCTCTTTTAAATGAAACTTTGTACAGTTTCAAAACAGTATTTTTTCACTTAAAAATAGATGGGAAACTCAAAGGGAAAAGAAACCATTAACCAAAATGTCAAATAACCTGTAAACCTGACAGTATATCTTGATTGAACTCAATAAAAGAGGTTGGATCTACCCAAAATGATGCGCTAAGTGACCCAAAGGGATTCAGAGGGCTGATTTCTCGAGCACTAATAGCCTTTTTTCTGATAGGATCTTCAACCTAGCGAAAAACCTGCTCACAAAGAACAGCTTTTTTTCTTGATGAGCTCTTTGAGGACAGCCCTGACCTTTGTGAAAGGATTGCACCTATGGTGAAAATCCAGTTTACCGTTAAAATTTTCAGCCCAGCCAAAACCAGATGTCTTGTATTAGCCACATGCTGCCATAGAGTCGCTGAATTTTGCAGCTCCTGTCATTATGATATAGCTTGATTTTGCTTGGGGAATAGGCACGCACTTTCACAGAAGTCCTAGTTTTCAACTAATTACCTAATCTGAGTGGGTTTTGTTCTTTTAACATAATGTTTAACCTTTGTGACTTAACAAAATCAAATCCTTCCTATATCAAATTCTGAATGCAGAGTGCATAGGTAAGGGCACATGGGAAGGACAACCTTATGTTCCTCCTTTAATATATTCAGAAAGGTTTCCATTGAGATGGAGAAATCACCAACACAGAAACCATCCTCCATTGGTGTAAGACTAGTCTGAAAGAATTTGCTTACCACTAAAAAAATTCTTTGTTGCTATTTTGTAATTAGCAAAACAATCCCATTACTCCCCAATGTCACTATATGCAAATTACAGCATTTATGCAGGTTTAAGCTAAACAGATCTGGAAAACAGTTATTACACAAAATGCAACTGAGGCCAATTTTAATAGGTTAGCATCTGGCAACTAATACACAGTTTTTCCTGAACTTTTTTTTAAACATGGATCAGGTCTTTGGTATCTCTGTGCGTTTTGAGGAATTCCCTTGGTTTTGGTACCCATCCAACAGCTTATGACCCAGACCCTTTGATGCCTGACACGGAGAAGTGATACTCTGTTTGCGGGTTTCCACGCCAGGGATGCCTGTGCTCTAGCAAACTCCACGTGGGAAATGAGGACAAGAAATGTCTCATGTAGATCAGAGAGCCAAGTCAGACCCAGTCTCACCACCTTTTCCTTATTGTGGTAGAAAAGGTGAAAACAATGGTCATTAAACCTGAAAAGAAACCAAGACATCTAAATGCAGGCAGTGGTCAGGCTGTTCACTTGTCTTCACAGTGTCTGTGTCTTGGGTACTGCTAGCTGAAAGATAAAACTTGCCTACTTAGACAAGTCCAGTCCTCTACTTAGGACTGGCCATCTAAGCCCATGATCAAACACCACAGACAGAGAAGCAGATGCAGCGATTCAAGTCTCCAGAGCCAAAATAAGTGCAAGTACAGAGAGCGGTATCTGTCGCAGACCCTTCTTGGTAATTGCTGCCAGCCACAACACTGGGACCTCAGGCATCAAAACAAACTCAGCCTTCCTTTCCGACACGTTTTTGGGTCAAACGATAAATGTTTTCACAATGCCACTGTGGTTAAAATTGCTCAGAAAAAGAAAAAAAATCTATTTTAGCTAATTTAAAAAAAAAAAAGTATTTCAGATAAAAATATTGAGTAAGGAAAATATCCCACCAAATTTTGGTTAAAAATGAGGTCACATTTATGGCGTGCTAGTCTGAGAACTAGTGCAAGGCAGGATGTGTTAGACTGGTGTGGTCTCCACTTTCACTAAACAGGCCCATCCTGGATGCCCACAGTGCCTGTAATGGACATGCTCTGTGCACCCCTGGGTGCCACAGGCACCCCAGTCTACTCAGAAGCCTGGCCTGAAATGACAAAGCCCTGCATCCATCCAGGCATTTCTGCTCAATTAGAGGTGGGGATGGGGTAACGTGCACCACCAGGGCCTTTGCCAAGCCCCTGGGGCTGATGTGCCAAATGGTACAAAGGCACCGTTTGTCCAGTCATTCATACCCAGCCTGGAAATGGATTTCTGTGACCTCCTCTTAGCAGACTCAGCTCCGGCCTCACTAAAGCAATATTTGCTTTTGTTACTTCTATCCCCTGAAAAGCAAAGCCCCAGCTATGAATATTACTGTGCTGAATACTTAGCTGGTATTAATTGGTCCTTTGTGCTTGACTCTGAGGGTAATGCAGCCAGGACTGGTGCAAAAATGAAGATCCAAATGCCCTACTAACAAAGGGCTTGATTCACTACAGCCTCTTCAAGCTAAGTGCCTTAATTTAAGTAGTAAGGAATACAAACAGCTATTCTAATGGGCTTAAAAGTGGCTGCAGAAGTAAGCACTTTTCCTAATCAGAATTATGTTATCTGTGGAGTTTTACGGTACTTCTATCCATTCGTTTCTTCCCTTCCCTGGCAAGACTGTGGCTGGCAGCCAGATGATTGATGAACCAATTTAATACAGTCTTTGGGCAGCAGTGAAACCAACAGGTTTGATAAACAGAGCAGGGGACGAGTGCAAGACACGCGATGAATTATGAGTGGGGGATAATTAATCACATAG